CTCTGGGCTATTCTCCAGAGTGACCATCACATGATAGGACTCTTGCCCACCGTTCTTTCCAACCCTTCAAATAAAGCCTGCCACATTCTGATCACAGCGATTTTTCTGCCCAAGCTATCAGGCCTGGCATGTAATTCCCATTTGCCAGGATGGTTAGGAGAACAAACGTTTCTTCTGTAAATCATGGAAACAAGGTGGAGGATTTGAGAGCTGTGGATTCCTTGAACCATACTAAGTGTTTGGCCTTTCATTAAAGGCTGCCCCTGCAGAACGTCTCGCCTGAGCCTCCTCGGCACCATCATCTGATACTTTCTCACTATTAAAGGAAGTATTTTCAGGCCTTTTGATGAGTAACCTGCTTTGATAGCCATGCCCCGGCATTATGAATGGCTAATGCAAAATGCCACGGGGTACCAGGAACTCAATTACGGCCTGGCTTGGCTGTGGCTAGACGCTGGAAGGAGGCTGTGTGACCGGACTTGTAATTCTCTTACTGGCTCTGGATCCACTGGGTGGGTGGCAGGGGGAGGAGCTGGGGGACTGAGAACTGGAAGCAGGGAAGGATAAACTCATCGAGTTCCCCCAAACCCTCCCTCCTCACTTCTCCATCTGTCTGGGTGAAACCACCACCCTCCCATTAGCCATGATCAAAACTTGGGAGTCCCATTCCCTCCCCCTCCCCCCCTGAATCCCATCACTGCTCAAGGGTTGTCACTATGTCTCACAGCCATTCAATTAATCTGTAAGTATGTTTAAGTGCCTACGAAGTACCAGGACTGTGCTAGGCTCTAGGCATACACACAAAGACTGAATCAGGCCCAGTTTACAAGGATCTCATATTCGAATGAGGGAGACAACAAACACATTTAAACATATAGCCCAAATATAAAGTTAATAGGTATTTATGAACACAAAGTAGGCAAATATATCACCCTCTCTACTCACGCCACCAACACTCCATTGCCATGTTGTAGCTCTCCTAGCTACACTTTGGTTGGAATCACTCGCTGGTTTCGCTCTTTCCTGCCTTTCTCTGTACCAATCCATCTTTCGTCCCACTATTTGAGCAATTTTCTGAAAATACTGCTCTGATCAAAGTACTTTTCTAGTCAAAAACCTCCCATGGTTCCCCATTGGCCTAGAATAAAGCATCAATTCTTGGTGTTAGCGTTCCAGGCCTTCCACAATCTGACTCCAACCTGCCTCTTCAGCCTTGTTTCATACTACTCATCTGCCCACAACCAGATGATAGGTCCTATGTCTCTGTTCTCACCCTCCCATTGCCCCCTTTCTGTGCCTTTGGCCATAATGCTTCAGATGCCTGCAATTGACTCCAGCTCTTCTGAGACCCCTAAAATCCATCTTTTTCATCAAGGCTTAGCTCCTCCCTAAATCCTTCCCTATCCCCTCAATGAAAGTGCTCTGTCTCAATCTTTTATGCATAAGTTGTAGTTGTCTCCTTCTTTCATGGCTATTTATGATTGTGACCCCCCCCCTCCAACAGACTGTAAACTTCTAGATTGAAAAACTCACTGTCACTGAGCAAGATACTTTTTTGGGTGGGAGGGGATATCAGGGGTTTATTCAGACCTGTGGTTATGGTACAGAAATCCAGGCATGGAGACACCCTCTACTGAGGCAGATTAGAAACTTGTCTATGACTTAAAGTTTTAGATAATTGCCTTGGACACCACAAGGTTAGAGTATTGACACAAGTTCACAGAACAGATATATTTCAAAACCAGGGTTTCAAATCAAGTCTTTCTGACATGCATTTATTAAGTGTTTACTGTATGCCAGATACTTTGCTCAGTATTGAGGATACAAAGAAAGGCAAAAAAGCCCTGCCCTCAAGGAGCTTACATTCCAGATAACATAGAAAAACTACATATCAGATACATAGACTATACATGGAAAGTAACTTTAGAGAGAAGAGGTTAGTAATAGGAGATACTAGGAAAGGCCTCTAATAAAAAAGGGGATTTCAGCTGAATCCTGAAGGAAGCCAGGGAAATGAAGAGGCATCTCTCTTATTCTTCTTATTATTATCAAGTGCTTAATAAATGGACAAAGACAGATATAGGATGCTTATGACATAAAACTTGAAATGACAACTAGCATGTAGGATGAAAGAATCTTCATGCAAACAGCTATCAGGATGATTATATTTTAGTTCAGAGAATCAGCTTCAGGAGTACTGGATTAGGGAAGTGTGGATGAATAATGGTTCCAATGAAAGAGGTTTTGAGGGTTTAGGGACTGCAAATCCTAGAGGAATCAATAATGTGACATTTCAGCCCAAAGAACATGTGATTTCAGGTTACGTGAACAGCAGCAGTGACCAGAATCAAGGAGACAATGGATCTGATGAATCTGGCCCCAGTCAGACCAAATCCAGAGGCCTCTTCAGCTCTTGTGGGTAACATTTTAGGAAAGGTGCAGATGGACTGGAATATAGTGTCCAGAATATAGCTTCCAGTATAATGAGAGCTTTGGGGAAACGTTTCATACGAACAAGGAAGGAAGTAAGGATATCTAGGCAACCTAAAAGAGAAGAGCTAAGGGCATGCAACATGACAGTTGGATTCATAGCAAAGCATAAAACATGCACAATTTAGAGACCAACGAGCATGGGCCACGTGCACGGCCTACTCCCAACATACTCTTACTCCAAAACTTGGGCAAATTCTTTACCTTCAATAACCCTCATTTCCCTCACCTGTAAAATAAGGGCTCTGAACCCAGTGACTTCTACGATTCACTCCTGTTCTAAATCAACAATCCCAGGATCTCATTGAAGTGGCAGAAAAGTGGTCCCATGGAAGCCAAGAGTAGGCTTCTGCTTATTCTGAGAGACCAGAGTGAGGAACAAAGGTCAGTCATTTGAAGGAGCCAATCTCAGTCTGATGAAAGGGCAGAAACAAAGAGGGTAGGGAATGGACTAAGAAACAGTGATTTCCTCCTTATCAAATAGCTAATGGAATTAGGGAGGTTTGGGTTGAACCAGATGGATTCCAGGTCCCTTCTATCTCCAAAGTTTTGTGGTGCATGTTGAATTTGACAGAGGTAGACAGTAGTAATAGTGATGATAACGATAACAAGTAATAACAAACACAATAAGTCAGATGCCCGTTGGGCTTGAAGGTTTCCAAAGCATTTTGTTCAGAAGAACGTTATGTGTGAGATGATGCCAGGATTACTCTCTGCATTTGACAGATTGGGAAATCAAGGAGATTGGAGGTGGAGGGACTTGCCCTAAGTCACGCAACTAAGAAACATTGGAGGTGAGATTTGCATTTAGGCCCTCTTGACTCTTTCTACAATGCCCCCTCTCCTTTCCCTGCCTTGTTCCTCAGCTATGTGAGAATAGCTTTACAGGTTCTGCTAGGTCAACCAAGTAGCATCAATTTGAATCTACTGGTCTTTAAGGTGTGCAAAGCACTTAACAAATTTTTCATTTGAGCCTCACAGCAACCTTGGGGAGTAGGTTCTGTTATCTTCATTTTGCAAATGGGAAAACTGAGGCTGAGAAGACATAAGCCAATTGCTCAGAGTCACCCAGCTAGCAAGTATCTGAGGCAGGATTTGAACTCAGAACTTCCTGCCTCCAAGTCTGACACATTTACACATGGAGCCACCTAGTCACCCCAGTGATTTTCCTAAAGTGTATACTGGATCAGGTGACTCTTCTACTGAACCAACTCTGGTGGCTCCTGGTTGCAGCCAGCATCCACTGGGAACTCATCCATTTAGCTTTTAAACTCCTTCTCAAGCTGGCCTCAGCCCATTCTTCCATCCTCCTGGTACAGTTCTCTTCTTCCCCTATGTTAAAATGCAGCCAAACTGGTCCCATCTCTGTCTCTCACAGCAATTCAGAGATGTAGGCAGTGCGAGGACCTTTAATAACATTATAAAAAATTAAGAATCTTTGTCTCAGACAGATGACCAAACAGCTGAAGACCTCCTAGCTGTAATTAGGGCCCATAGCCTTGTGCTTTGATAGGTTCAATCATGCCACATTGCCTGAATTACGTGTGACTTGGTGGGTGGGTATTTTTTGGGGGGGAGGTGAGTTGGGAGAGCGTGACGGCCTCTATTTCCCAACAAATTCCATCTACAAGGCAATTCACTCCCTAGACCATATAGACCACTTACATGAAAGTTAAGTCTTTGGTGAGAACAATCTGGAAATTGCTGCAATTTGCCAATCAGCCTTACTGGAGGAGGCTGACCTTCGATTACCTGGTCAATGTGGACAGGAGGACTAGACCTTCAGTTCCTGGAAAGCAGAGATGGAGCTTAAAAAAAATCCCTCTGTATCCTCAACTCTCTGCCTAAGACTTTGTATGAGAAGGATTTAGGAAATGATGGTTGCATAGATTTGGAGAGGTCATCTGCTGCTGTGAGAATAGTGTGGGGGATCCCCCCATGTAGAATATCACACATATTAGCAGATTTGGTCAATATGTTGATGTTTTGCTGATTCCCACCACCCTCTTATTTTTTTGTTTTAAAAGAAAAGTTTGGGGCAGCTAGGTGGCACAGTGGATAGAGCACCAGCCCTGAAGTCAGGAGGACCTGAGTTCAAATCTGGCCTCAGACCAAATACATGATACCTACTAGCCATGTGACCTTGAGCAAGTCACTTAACCCTGATTGCCTTACTAAAAAAAAAAAAAACCTTTTGTGATATGGGATGATGGTGGGGTGGGGGAGAGGAAATTTAGATGAGAAAACAAAAAACACTAATATTTTGTTTTAAAGAGCACTTGATGTGGAGTCCAAAAAGCTGGGTTCAGATCCAGACTCTGCCACTAACTACCTGTGTAACTTTGGACAAGTTGCCTAGACTCAAGGCGTCTCCATTTTGTCACATGGAAAAGAAGGGAGTTGGAAGAAAAGACGTGTTTTCTCCAAATCTTACGGGGCCCACCCTGAGAGGCCAAAGGGAATGAGGAACCTTTCCAAGTGTTTGCTGAAAACCAACTCTATTGTTCCAGGTGCCTCCCTCATCCACTGCCACAATCTCCCAGTGTTCTGCTGACTCACAGATTCCTGAACCAGAGGCAAGACAGGTATGTGGGTCTTGGTCAATTGCCTGGTATTTCCCAATGCTGCAAAGGGACGCTGAATGCTACTTATTCTACAGCTGGGGAAGAAAAATATTAAAATAAGAGTGACCTAAGAGCCTGTTGCCTCATTTTGCCCAGGCAATTGACAACTGTATTTATGCCTAGGCTTATAATGGGCCCAACCTTGCTCCCCCAAATTAATATTTTTTTTTCCCCAGATGGGATTGGTCACAGAGGTTCTCGATGGGAAGTAAGCCTACTTTATTTTATTCTCTCTCTCCTCTGATCCTAAAATAGCTGCCCATTGACCATAGCTTTGGCATTGAGTTTTCCATCTTCATTCAAACTCATTGTCCCAGAGTTTTATTCTGCTGCTTTGGCAATGGAAGAATATAATTTAGATGTGATTAGTGTCTCACGCTCCATATCAGGGAAAAGAAATGTTAAGTGGCAAAAGTAATGAATGCCGCCCATTTATCTCCAACCACTTCCAAAGCACCTGTCTCTTTAAAAACTCTATAAAAAGACATTGCTCAAAGACCTCTGATCCTTCCCACGCTGTGGCCATTAATAGGCTGGCTCTGGAATTATTCAGCTAAACAGCCCTTAAGATCAGCGTTCTGCTTGTTAGGTGCAGTCAGGGGTTATTTCTGCTTTGAACTGGGATAATATCTCTACAGTTTATGCCTATTTACTATGTGGGGTGTATTTAAAGCAACATGCTGTCCACAGACAAGTACCTAGGAGCTATCAATGACAGCAGGCAGATATGGGATTTAGAGGAACCTCCATCTTCTCCTCTTGACCAGTTTATTTGTCTTCTGGGGTCAGGAGGCTGGACTTTGAAAATGAACAGAAACCTGCAGTGGAGAGAGGCAGAATTCAGAGCAAAATCCCTGTGCCACTTCTAATTGTAATTCACACTTCTGAGTCATTGAGTCTTAGAGCTGGCAGGACCAGAGAGGATGGCCAGTGTGGCCTGTACCCAAAAAAGAATCTTTTTGGTTAAATCCCACACACATGGTCGTCCAGCTCCTGATCAAAGCTCCCAGTGATGGAAGGCCTCCCTGCTTCCAAAGCTGCTCTTTCAAACTCTGCATCACCTTGTTAAGGTCATCTTTCTTTATGCCAAGGTGAGAGCTGGGTCTTTTCAACTCACATTCAGTGCTTTATTCCTGCTGCTCTAGGACAAGAGTAGAAGCCCTCATCCCCATCATAACCTTTGGATGCTTGTCCAATCTGTCTCATAGAATCTCAGAGCCAGTCAGGATCTTGGTGGTCTCTCTCCCACCTCTCCAAAAAGTGGTTATCAAGATTCTGCCTGAAGACCTACAAAAAGGGGGAGCCTCCCCACCTCCCTGGGTAGCTCGTTTCTCTTTTTAGACAACTCTAATTGTGAGGAAGTGTTTCCTTGCATGAGAAACAAATGTGCTGCTTTATCATTTCTACACCATTGATCCTCAATCTGACCTCTGGGAAGTAAGAGAAAGAACCCAATACCTTTGCATCTGACAGTGCTTGAAGATAGCTATTATTATTATTACCTACCCCTCCCCTCAACACACACATGCAAATACACACACATGGATACACACACAAAAAACCCACACAACACACACTCATATGCACACACACACACACGCACACTTGCACATCTTCATTCCATGTAGTGAACATGCTCCATTCTTGTAGCCAGTTTCATGTGGCACAAATTCATGACCTTTTACCATTCCAGTTGCCTGCCTTTGAATGTTCTTCAACTTATCAGTGCTCTAAAACCTGGCACAGAGAATAAGCCAGGAAGAAGGACAGTGGGATGATTGCCTTCTTCTCCGAGAAACTCTGCCTTTCAACAGATCTCAAGATCCCATTATCTTCCCTGGATCCCTTAGCACAGTATTAGCTTATATTGAGCTTGTGGTCCCCCTAACACTGCAAGATCTTCTTCAGGCAAACTACTTTATTAACCACATTTTTTTTCTCTCTTAGACTTCTGAAGCTGATTTTCTTTGTTCTTGTTCCATCATTTTCAGTCACATCTGACTCTTTGTGGCCCCATGTGGGGTTTTCTTGGCAATGATACTAGAACAGTTTACTCATTTTACAGATGAGTCAATCAGGGTTCAGTGACTTGCCCAGGATCACACAGCTATGTTTGAGGCCAGATTTGAATGCACAAACATGAGTCTTCCTGACCCCAAGCTCAGCCCTCTATCCACTGTGGCACTTAGCTGCCCCTATGTGAAGCTGAGCCAAAAGCAAGATCTTACATTTATCCCAAATAAGCTTCATTGCGTTTTCTTTAGCCTAACATTCTATTCTATCCAGATATTTTTTAATCCTTTGGTCTCAAACTCTAGAAACCCAGTATTCAGCTGAATGGACCCCTACTGGTCAATGTCCGTTTTACAATAGGTCACCAGGAAGTCAGGCCCTGGCTTCTGTGGCATGTAAATCCAGATTTCCACATAAGGTTGATGTCTCCTTTGCCCTAAACTGGAAAGCAGAAATATTCGCTGGTCTGCTAGACAAGAATCTCAAGCACAGAGTAGGCACTTTAAGAGCAGAAACATAGAATCTAATGAAAACAGCTGCAGGTGTTCCAGTTCCTGATGTGAAGTATGGGCAATCTGCAAATGCCAGCCTTCCACCAACCTTCCTTTCTTCACAGAAGCCCAGCTGTTATCAACACCCAGCTATTCATTCATTTCTTAATAGTACATATATACAGAGACAGAGACAGACACAGAGAAAAAAGAGAAAAGAAGGAAAGAAAGAAGGGAGAGAGAAAAAGAGAGAAAGGAAGGAAGGAAGGAAGGAAGGAAGGAAGGAAGGAAGGAAGGAAGGAAGGAAAAATGTGTTGGCCACCTAGACATTCATCAGGGATAAGAGAATCAGTAGATGCTTAGTAGAAAAGAAAAAAGAGGCATCACTCCCCAGAATGGGAGCTGGGAATGGGGAGCACCAGCTTCTTCTTTTGTTACATCTCATCTCAGGTTTGGAAGTCAGAGGCTGATCATTGCTTTATGCTTGCCTTAATCATGGATTATAGGCTACGGAACTACCTAGCTTTCAGGTAGAGGTAAGAGATAAGAGATAAGAGGTAAGAGGTAGGACAGACTTCATAAGTCCCAGAGCATCTACTTTCGAGGAGCAAGGAAAAGCAGAGGGGGCACAAGTTACAGAGGATCAGCTGCTCTTGGGGAAGAGGAGAGGAAAGAGTCCATTATAGTTGGTCATTTTAGTTCTCCACAATGTCTGGAAACAGTTATGTGGTGGAGGGAATGGGCAACTACTTCTACTAGTCAAAAGCATCAGCTCTATGGGAGCTTTTCCCCATGGTGCTGTTAGCTGGAACAACTATAATGTTAAGAGATACCCAGAAAATCCCAGTAGTTTGAACAGAGAGAGAGAGAGAGACAGAGAGAGAGAGACAGAGAGAGAGAGACAGAGAGAGACAGAGACAGAGAGAGAGAGAGAGAGAGAGAGAGAGAGAGAGAGAGAGAGAGAGAAGAGAGCTATCTTTTGTTTTATAACACTTTCATTTCTGAATATACCTCCTTCCTTTCCTCATCCCTTGGAACATTTTTAAGAAATAATTGAACAGGGTCAGCTAGGTGGTGCAGTGGATAGAGCTCTGGCCTTGAAGTCAGGAGGACATGAGTTCGAATCCAGTCTCAGACACATGACCCTTACTAGCTGTGTGACCCTGGGCAAGTCACTTAATCCCGATTAGCTCACCAAAAAGCAAAAAAAAAAAAAAAGAAAAAGAATTGAACATAACTAAGTAATATGTTGACTGAGGCTGACAGCCTATGCCATACTCAAGGCCCATAGTCCCCACCTTTCCAATGATAGTTTTAAAGTAGATGTTGCTTGCCTTCTCAGTGGGGGGGGGAGTGGGAAGGAGAGAGAGAATATGCAACTCAGAATTTTAAGAACAAATGTTCAAAATTCTTTTTACGTGTAATTGGGGGAAAATATAATACTAAATAAAAAATAAAGTAGATGCTGGATGATCACTTGTTGGGGGAGGGGTGTGTGTGTGTGTGTGTGTGTGTGTGTGTGTGTATGTGTTTTGGATTGTGGGGAGTGGGGATACATTCCTGGTTACATATTCATTCAACCATTTGCTTTCTTAAGGTCCTTTCAATTTTGAGCTGCTGTAACTCTAACAGGAAGGGCTCAAGAGTGAGAAGGAGGTCTAAAGATGGATACTGTATGGGTTCCCACCCAAGTTCAAGTAGGAAGCAAGACTCCAGAATCCAGGCGACGAGCACAGGAAGGGACAAGCCGTGGGAGCTGGGCTTCTCAGCCAGCTGGGCTGCTAGCTTCTTGTTGGTCTTGTTTGTCCTTCATTCTCAAAGAGAGATTCAACATGTCATCTCCCTCTTCCAGACATTTGCCCAGCTATGCCTCATGCCTGGAACACACTCATTCCTCTATCTCTATGACTCTTATCTTACTCCTTGGCCAGCTCAGTTTCCCCCTCTTCCTTGAAGCCTTCCATCACATTTACAAAGGCAAAGTTCCACCCCATGGTCATTACCCTGGTACTGTACTTATTCCATACAAGCTTTCTGAATCTGAGCTGTAAGCCCCATTCCTGAACAAGAGCTCCTCTACCAAATGTGCCAAGTGCATGGTCAGCCTCTGCTTGGAAACCTTTCAGTACATCCCACATTAGCTCTGGCCAGAGCCTTGCCTTCTGCCTTCCAGACATCTCTGATTGTTAGGGAGACATGGGTCCCGCAGCCTCTCTGCAGCATCTACCTATTAGGATTTCTCTGAGAAGCTTTTGGAGCCATTACTGAGCCCACCACCTCCTGAGGGAGCCCAGGATAGGAAGTTTGCTGTTCTTTCTTTGTTTATTTTCTTCCTATCTAGCCTAAATATACCTCTCTGCAAATTCCTGGTAGTGCCTCTGGCTCTGCCTTTAGAGCACCCAGAGTGTATAGAGCACTAGGCCCTAGTTAAGAACACCTGAGTTCAAATCTAGACTC